GGTCCGCCGGGATCAATGAATATCCTTGCCTGGAACTGTCGAGGATTGGGGTTGGACTCGACAGTTGGCGAACTTCGTGACCTGATTAGGTCCCACAACCCAGCGGTGGTCTTTTTGAGTGAAACAAAGAAAAGTGCAACTGCTATGGAGAAACTGAAATGGAGCATGGGGTTCAGGAGTGGTGTAGCAGTTGGTTCGGTGGGCAGAAGTGGAGGTCTCGCAATGTGGTGGAGGGAGCATGTGCAGGTAACGATTAGGCCTTGGTGCCAATACTTTTTGGATGCAGAGATGGCTATAGATGGCGATGCCTTGGTAACGATTAGGCCTTTAGAGAATGTCTAACAGAGTGGCTTGGCCGGCCTAGGATTCTCTGGATACAGATATACATGGGACAATAGAAGAGATGGCGATGCTAACATGCAGGTCAGACTTGATCGTGCAACATGCACTGATTCTTTCTTGGAGATGTTTCTAGAGACTAATGTGGAGAACCTCATCACGGAGGAATCCGATCATTTAGCCCTACTTGTGCATGTGTTGGAGACGGCTCCAACTCATCGACAAAAAGGGCCATGGTCTTTCAGGTTTGAGGATGCATGGACAAAGCATGATGATTATGAGCGTATGGTTACAGATGCGTGGGCAGCAGCAAGCACCGGGATCTCCGGGATAGCAGCGGTTTTGGACAAGATCCATCAAGTTTCTGGGGACATGCAAAGATGGAGCAGGGCTGTTTTTGGGTTGATCTGAAAACAAATAGTAAAATTAAAAGCTCAGCTCCAGGACGCAAAGGAAAGGGTGCTGGGGTCGGGCTCCTCACTGGAGGTGCGCGATCTTGAAAGCCAGCTAAAAGAAATTTTTGCGCGGGAAGAGATTTACTACAGACAACGGTCACGTGTTGACTGGTTAAAGGAGGGCGATCAGAACACAAAATATTTCCAGGGTCGAGCCTCGCATAGAAAGAGAAAAAACACGGTCCGCGCCTTAAGAAAAGATGATGGCTCGAGGTGCACGGTTGACGATGACATGAGAGAGATGGCAGTGGCGTTCTACGAGTCCCTGTTCACCTCAGAAGGTTCGACCGGCGTGAGTGATTTTCTGGAAAACATTCTGCCTGCGGTGACGGAGGAGATGAACCGCAAGCTTACGGCGAGAGTGACGGATGAGGAGGTGGAAGCTGCACTTTTTCAAATGGGGCCAACGAAGGCCCCTGGACCGGACGGTCTACCTGCACTTTTCTATCAACGACACTGGCGGCTGGTGAAAGGAGATGTGTGTCGTGCGGTGCAAGATTTCTTGGGGGGTTGCAGCCCCGGAGGCTTTCAACGCGACCACGATAGTAATGATACCAAAGGTTAACGCACCGGATTTACTCTCTCAGTTCCGTCCCATCAGCTTGTGCAACGTTCTCTATAAGCTTGTTGCAAAAGTGTTAGCAAATAGGCTGAAGGGCCTCCTACCGGTCCTCATCTCCGAGGAACAAAGCGCTTTTGTTTCGGGAAGGATAATCACGGACAATGTGATCGTTGCATATGAGTGTGTGCATGCAATAAGAACCCGAAAACAGAAAAAACCTTTGTGTGCAGTAAAGTTGGATATGACAAAGGCTTATGATCGGGTCGAATTGATGTTTCTTGAACAAATGATGGCCAAGTATGGTTTTGCAGATGGATGGATCCAGATGGTGATGAGATGTGTGACATCTGCACGGTTTACTGTGAAGCTTAATGGAGGGCTCTCTAGGGGTTTTAGGCCATCAATGGGGCTCAGACAGGGGGATCCACTCTCCCCGTACTTATTTCTTTTTTGTGTTTAAGGATTCTCAGCTATGTTGAGGAGGGCACAAATAGAGGGCAGTATTAAAGGGGCCGGTTTTGGAAGCACTGGCCCCCAAGTCACGCACCTTTTGTTTGCAGATGATAGTATTGTATTCTTGCAGGGCACTCCGGAGAATGTTAATGTGCTCAAGGACATATTGGCTAGATATGAGGCGTCGTCCGGACAGAAAATCAATCTCCAAAAATCTTCCATCTTCTTCGGAAAAGGTTGTGGACAGCCACAAAAAGATGCCATTAAGCAGGCCATAGGTATTGAACAGGAGGCCCTGAGTGAGAGATATTTAGGTCTACCTACGGTGGTGGGGAGATCCAAGGATGGCACGTTCAAGTATGTGACATAATGCTCTAAGGGAAAGGTAACAGGATGGAAGGGACAAGGTTTGTCCAAGAAGGCCAGGGAAGTACTTGTCAAATCTGTTTTGCAGGCTACACCTACGCTCACTATGAGTTGTTTTCACCTCTCCAAGAAGATGTGCGGGAACCTGAAATCAATCTCTTCAAAATTCTGGTGGGGTGCAACGAATGGTAAGAAGAAAGTGCATTGGATTGCTTGGAATAAAATGTGTCAGTCCAAACGGATGGGAGGTATGGGCTTCCGGGATCCGGAGGCCTTTAACCAAGCTCTATTGGCAAAACAGGCGTGGAGGATTTTGCAGTCGCCAATGTCTCTGTGTGCGAGAATTCTCCGAGCAAGGTACTTTAGTGACAGCTCCATCATGAGTGCTACGTGCCCATCGGGCGGTTCTTACACGTTTAGGAGATGGTACATCCGTTAATATCCGTTAAGGGAAGGCACTATATGGCGTATTGGAGATGGTGCATCCGTTAATATCCACCATGACCCTTGGATCCCGAGGCAAGGGAGCCTGCTGCCACTGGGCGCAGTTCACCTCCCGGGAGTGCAGAAGGTGAAGGACTTGTTGAACCAAACGGGTGACTCACGGGATGATGCGAAGCTACAGGCTATGTTCTCCGACGATGATGCATGTGATATCAAGCGGGTCGCTATTGGAGGGCCGGGGCGTCAGGATTACATCGCATGGAATCACACCAAAAGTGGCATCTTCACGGTGAAGTCAGCATATCACCTGAGGATGGCCCTGACTGCTGCTCGGCGAGGACAACCAGGACCGTCTTCTACGACTCTCGCTCATTAGGGTTGGCTATCCTTGTGGGATACATCTGCTCCAGGGAAAGCAAAAATTCATATGTGGAGACTGATGAAAAATGGACTAGCGACTGGTGCTGAATTGCTATGGCGACGGATCAAAGCGGGCGTGTTCTGCGTTGCATGTGGACAAGAAGAAACTGGCCATCACCGTTTTGGGGCTTGCCCACACTCGGTGTGTTTTTGGAAGCAGCTTCGCTCGGAGTTGGGAGTTTCGGTGGCAAAACCACCATGCAATATTGACTCCCAGAGCAAGCTGGCGATCTGGCTACTGGAGTGGTTCGCACACGCACCCGATATTGATAAGTCAATCATGGTACAAGCTGTTTATGGGCTGTGGCTAGCTCGCAATGATGCGAGAGAGGGAAGGAAAATTTCTGAAGCACATGAAATATCACATAGAGTGGCTGCATTTGTCAAGGAATGGGAAGAGATCCATAAGAAGGGAATGATGATGAAGCCTCCAAAGGGAAGGGCCAAGTGGGAACCACCAGACCCGGGCTGGATCAAAGCCAACACTGACGGATCAATGTCGAAACACTTGGGTAAAGGAGGCATTGGAGTGGTGCTTCGTGACGACACGGGTGCGTTCCGAGCGGCAGCGTGTCAGGTGGTGGCGACAGCGCCTGATCCGGAGAGGGTCGAGCTTTCGGCGTGCAGGAAGGCGATCGAGCTTGCTAGAGACGCTGGGGTGGGCAAGTTTCATCTCGAGTGTGACTCGGCAAGGGTGGTGTCCATGCTCAACAATCAGGAGAAAAACCTCTCTACCGCTGGACCAATTGTGGAAGATGTTAAGACGAAGCTGAAGGACTTCGAAGAGTTTAAAGTTTCTTGGGTAAGTCGCTGTGCTAACGCCGCTGCTGATAAATTAGCAAAGGTGGGTATGGGAGATGAACTGAATGATGTGTGGCTCTTAGCTCCACCAGACTGTATTTTGCATGTTATTTCGGATGAGATTCCGGCACTCTTTTAAGTAATAAAGCGGCCACGGTTTTACCCTAAAAAAACATGTCTTGAAACTGTTCGAAATACACAGTAATATTTTCCCATGTATAGTTGTACATTTTTTCTTGACTATGCCATTTTTTTACACTGTATAATTTTTTTAAAACGTGTGAACATGATTAATTATATTTTGATTTACACAAACATTTTTTACAATCTATAAACTCACACACATAATTAACCTTTTTCATCCTAATAATTAATATGTTCCTGCATCCACGCCCGCCACTCCCGGCAGCGGCAGCAGGGCGAGCCGACGGCGTATGTCGACACGCTCATCGACCTCTGGGTCCCGGACGACCACAACGATGCTAGTAGGCGTAGGCTCACCGACGGAGAAATCGTGGAGTTGTGCGCCGAGTTGGTCGGGTGCAGGGATGGGTACAGTGACCCCGGAGCTGCAGAATATCATGGCCAGCCTGGTGAAATGCCCACACATGCAAGAGGCCGTCCGGAAGGAGATCAGCGCTGCCGTGGACCCAGACGCCGAGGAGGTCGGCGAGGAGGTCCTTGGTAAGCTAGAGTACCTCAATGCTGTGGTCATGAAGGAACCAAAAGAGCATGGAGCTGTGATTCTCGTCATCACCGGGCAAGATACAAAAAAAAGACACATATCATTTCCTTGACGATGACTTGCGCGATGCTTTTCCACTTAAGTTCCTCTGGAAAGAAACCAAGCAAATTCCCACGTGTGTAGAATGTAAGAGGAGTCCGACGAAAGACGAGTGAAGATGATTAGATATGCATTTCTGCCACGGCACAATAATGGATTTGGACCTACCATGAATATAACAGATGGTCAAATAAGTTGACTGGTCCTGGTCCAGGTCTCCCAGCCACCAACCCACTCACCCACCCACCCAGTCGTCCAGCGATTCTTTGTTTAAACAAAATAGGCTGCCTGTAGCAGTTTATATCTTGCTAAGAGTCTCTTCAGGACTTGGCAGTCTCAGCAGTTGCCTCATCAGCTTACCTCATCAATCCCGGCCATGGAGGTTGCCGTATCAGCAGTTGCAGGTGAACTTGTGAGCCGGTTCATCTCCTTCCTGATGAACAAGTGCCACTCAAGCCATGCGCAGCCAGAGGAAAAGATGGTGGAAAGGTTGCACCACCTCCTAATGAGAGCTTGCACCATCGTCGAGGAGGCGGATGCTCGATACATAACAAACTCCGGGATGATGATGCAGCTCAAGATGCTCTCGGAGGCCATGTACCGAGGTCACAGCCTCCTCAATGCCTCGAGGTACCGAGCCCTCCAAGACGGTGTTGGCTTCGACGAGGTTAGCAGCAACGACTCATCTAGCAGCAGTTTGTATTTAATCATTCCAGAATTTTCAGTCAAGCGTTCTCGAACAGCAGCGGTGAAAGGCAATAAGGCCATGGGCCTCGACTCACATGCTGCTTTGGAAAGCTTAGAAATTGCTATCACAAACATGTCAGAGTTTGTTGTGCTTCTGGGAGGATGTGAGCGCATGTCCCGTAGGCCATATGATGTTTATCTTTACACCGACAACTTCATGTTTAGCCGACATGCTGAAAAGCAAAAGCTTTTGAGCTTCTTGTTGGAGCACAATGATCCTTCAGGTGATCATGCATTAGCCATTCTTCCGCTCATAGGTGGCGCCGCGGTTGGGAAGAAAACTTTGGTTGCTCATGTGTGTGGCGATGAAAGGGTTCGTTCACGCTTCTCCTCTATTTTGCACTTGAATGGAGACAGCCTTTTGGGGACACTTGGTGATGGGAGGGCCATGATTGGGATAATGTTGGTAGTTATTGAGTTTGCTTCTGATGTAGGTGATGATGACTGGAAAACATTCCACTCATTTCTCATAAGAATGGGCAGAGGAAGCAAGATCATCATTGTAAGTAAGCTTAAAAGAATAGCCCGGTTTGGAACAATGAAACCAATTTTACTAAGTGGGCTATCTCATGATGAGTTGACGTACCTTTTCAAGGCACTCGCCTTCGGAAGTGTAGAGCCAGCAGAACATCCGCGGCTAGTACAAATAGCAGATGAATTTGCCACGGTGATCCACAGTTCGCAAATTTCACTTGTCGCAACAAACATGTTCACGGATGTGTTGAGAAGCAACCTTGATGTTCAGTTCTGGCATTGTATATTAGACAAGGCAGCAAGAATGGTTAAAAGAAACCGCTCCATTTATGGTGTGAACCCAACCATGCGCATAAAACAAGGCCATCAAGTGGACATAACAGACATTGCTTTGCATCCACTAAGCATGAAACCTTATAGTGATACTATGTCAATCAAGACAGAATTGCCAATTGTGACATTTCGGGAACTTATAACAGATCCTAGTGTTAGGACGAAAGGAGACTTCACTCTAATTGCATGGGAATCAAGGATAGCCCCTCATAAATCATTTCCTAATTATGTTACAAGTCATGCTCAGGATACATATCAAAGTAGTGCCCTGCTAGGGAGGAAGCGACAAGGAGTGCCAATCTAATTTTATTTCAGAACTTGTTATGTAACTTGTTGTAATTTTTTGATACATGACAATTCAACTAAATATATTACATATCTCGACTGACATACAGTGAACTTATATGTTTTATCCGATCCAACAACCCCTCTTGATCTTCTTAGATAACCTACTGCTACTGTTGACACCGTGGTATTCTCAGTGAAGAAAATACAATTCGGACCATACTATTCATCAAACAGTGTTTTTTGTCATTTTTTCCAGAATCCAACGAATGACATTTCTTTGTGAAACTTAATGCGCAAGCATGCCGGTCGTCCATAAAAATTCAGATTTTTTATTCTAGTATTTTTTTGAATTACTGTTTATAAGGGGTTCATGCGGAACCATATTCACCGAATCCACGTTCAACAACAAATATAAAAAGGTGACAAAACTTCACATCATGCGTAGAATGATTGACCAAGTTTGATACCCCCAAAATTTCAGAATTTTTAAAATTTTACTAGTATTTTTTCCAAAACTACTTTTCACGTGGGTGCATGTGGAACCATGTTCAGCTTTATATTTTCACTATTCAGTGGTAGGCTAGAGGTGAAATCCATAAGATATCGCAACCAACTCATAGTTCTAACACATGGAAAGCAAGCTTCCACGCACCCATGTCCATGCCTAGTTCTTTGGTTATACTCCAGTCCATCAGATCCCTCTTTGCAGACTCCTCTCATGTCAAGTTCGGTCTACCCCGACCTTTCTTGACATTATCGGCAATGCCTTAGCCGTCCGCTATGCAGCGCCGCTTCTGGAGGCCTATGCTAAATAAGCCCAAACCATCTCAGACAATGTTGGGCAAGCTTCTCTCCAATCGGTGCTACCCCAACTCTATCTCGTATATTGTCATTCTGGACTCGCTCCTTCCTTGTGTGTCCATGCATCCATCTCAATATGCGCATCTCCGGCACAATTAACTGTTGAACATAATGCCTTCTAGTCAGCCAACACTCAGCGTCATACAACATTACGGGTCGAACCACTGTCTTATAGAATTTACCTTTTAGCTTTAGTGGCACTTTCTTGTCATAGAGAATATCAGAAGCTTGGCTTACTGATGAAACATAAATTAGAGAACAAGAAAGTGTTACATGCAAATTATCATCATCACACAGTCCATACTAGCATTACTAAAGTTGATGCTAACTAAAGTTGTGTAGTGACCCGACCGAATGGATCAAAGTCTCTGTGCTTAAGCGTCTCCCTGGATCGGTATGTTGACACACACACAGTACTCGAGGATTTATAACAGAGTGCAATCACATGTAATAAGTAACGTAAATACCATTACCTCAATCCATATAGCGGAAGTAACATCAAGGTTGTGGAGCCCCAATAACACCAATGGAAAAGTTGAGTGTAGACATCGTAACCCTAACGTATCACTTACTCGTCGTAAGATTCCTGCAACATGAGACATTGCAGCCATGTAGGTCAGTACATTGAATGTACCGGCAAATTCACACCATAGAATAATGATGAACAATATCTATCACTACATGCATATTTGGCTGGTGGAGGCTCCAAGTTTAGTTTTTGCATAAAGCTAAATTTTCCCTACAACAAAAGAATAAATTTCGTTTACTACAAAGTTTATACCCATATTGAGAAGGTTCCTCCAACTCAATCACATAATTAATCATTAAACTCAATACATTAAATAAAGAGTGATGAGATCAACAAAATATTCACTTCTAGATACTCAAAATTGTCCATTACCAGGGACACGGCTAACCATGATTAGTTTATACACTCTACAGAGGTTTGCGCACTTTTTCCCACAAGACTCGATAGCCTCCCTTGAAACCCTCACACTGCCTGGTGTTTGAGAACGGGATGACCGAGACACAGTCTTTCAGAAGCATTTACTCTCTACTCCGGGCGGATCGGTACACCTACAATCCCCCTACATCTGCTAGTCCACCTCTTCAAGAGCTCACGCAACTTACTCAACTATACCAGAGCCCATAATGGCTTGTGGCTACACACGGAAATTTCTAGTTATGAAATATCATATGATCCCTTTGAGCCTGGGTGGCGAACCGAGGAAAAATCACACGGGTACTCTGGGACTCCCTTGGGCAAGCATTGGGTTCTCCAGGTGCCCGGGCAAGCCACTGGGTTCTCTAGATTGCCTCAACCAATCCACCCAGATGTGTATTAAAGTCGCCACCTTAAGTTTCTCTTAGTTATTATCTCTCAGAACTTGCATGATTCTCACATACCAATCCCCGTCTACGAGCATGGCTAAGCAATATATGACATAACGAAGAAACCCGGGGTGTTTCAAGGATCATAGGTTCCTACCTCAGGAACTACATAGCAAATGCCCAATTTCCAATCCTACTCATGCAATCTTTGAGGGCCAATGCATAGTAATAATTGGGTATTGAAAAGTATGATCAAAGTGTGAACTTGCATTGTACTGTTGATGAAGATCCGTCGCACTCATAATTCCTGGTAGTTCTACTCGTCACACTCCGATCAATCTATCGTAAGCAAGCAATTGCATACATAAGCACTCAAGCAAAAGATGCAAAGGGAAATCGAGAAAAGAGCCAAATAAAACTCAAAAACAAGCAAATAACGAATCTAAAGAGAAAACAAATTTTAATAGCAATATATTTGTGTGGCTTAGATCTTAACACTAGGTACATGTGATAAGATATGATTTACCAGAAGAATCAAGTCAAACGGAGTTACGAAACTCAAGAAACAGACGAAACAAGATTGAATACTAACCTAACTAAACTTAGATTTTAAATTGTCAAAAACATGTTCAAGTTGGTTTACTGGACAGACAGGATCGTTACGAAGATTTAAGCGTTAGTTTCGTCGAAAATGGAGGCACGGATAAAACATATGATTAAAAGAAAATTTGAGTATGAATCTGAACAAATTTCGAAATTTGAAAATTGGAGAAGTTTATTTGATAAATTCACTAGATAAGTGGCGTTGGTTTCATTTAATTTGGATGAACGAGTAAAAAGTTATGACTATTTAAAAAATCAGAGCCAAGCTGTTTTATGGAAGAAAAATATCTACATAATAAGCTACGGTAGTATATAAATAAAAAAACGAAGAAAGATACCTTTATAAGGTAGAGAAAAGACGACTAAAGAGAGGAGACAACTTCCAGAATTCCAGTCGGAGAGGAGAAATATATTTTTCTTTAGTGAATCTAGTCAAACCAAAATATTGATTTAACCCGAATCGAATGATTTTCGGAGGTTCTATGGGTCTATATTTATAGGTGGAAAACTGTTTTAGGGGTCAAAGGCTAGGCAAGGTGGGACTAAACATAGACGAAAAGATAGAAAAGAGAAAAACGCACGGGTTCGGCCGGCCTGCGCACGCGCTGCATTTTTCTATTTTTTTAGGAAAAAGAAATATTTCTGAAAATAATTTTTTTCCAAGCATAACCGAAAAATAAATAAAAGTTGTTACGGGCATGTCTGCTGACTGTGTTGCGCACGCGGGCGTCTGATAGTTATGGGCCACACATAGAGTTTCTTTTTTTAAAATAAAAACAAAAAGTGAAAAAACTGAATAACAAAAATAAAAATAAAATTGTACATAGGCATATTATATGTCAAACTTTTCAGAAAAATATTTTCTACAACATGAGTTATTTTTCCAAGTCAAATAAAATCCACAAAAATTGAAATAAACCAAATAATGCTACTGTAGCAACAAATCCCATAAAAATTATTGTAAAAATACCAACATGATTTCAAATATATTTCTATCCAAATTTATATTGTAGGGAATCATTTTACCCTATTTCCCTTATATTATATTTTTGGACAAAAATAATGTGAATAAAACCCAAATAACTCCAAATTGAAAATAATTTCAAAGGGACTTTAAATTTTATTCTTTTAAACTTCCAACTCATATTTCATACAGTTTGAAGAAGTCATTTTATCTTCACTGATGAAAATCATTGAGTTGCATAAATTTTCTGAATTGGAAATATTTCCAAATGAAATTCAAATCTTTTCAAAACCCTTTTCATTTATAATGGAAGAAGTCATGTCGTCTTCTCTTTAGGGTTTTGTATTTGAAAAGCATTTGAATTCATGGAGATCATAAATGCAAGGTGAAAGTTTGGGAAAGCCATTTCATTCTCTCTCATTTAACTTTCAAAAAGTTTCAAATTTCAGTCGATTTCACACAAACAACCACACCACAATCAAACAAACAATCAAAACTATTTCTTTAATATAACATTCCAAAATTTAGAATTTTTGGATGTTACAAACCTACCACCCTTAAAATGAATCTCACCCTCGAGATTCGGAGAGGCTAGCAAGGATTAGGTTGGGTTCGAGGGTCTCCTCAAAATCCATTGATCGTCATAGAGCGTCTGGGGTGCTACCACCCTTAGAAACATGGTTACGGTTCCATCAAAACTCATATACTCCATCCTTATTGTTGACAGTGTCGATCTTCTCAGATCTTCAGGATAATTCCTCCTCTCGGCTCTTCCGATAGTGGCATAACATTTTTCCTCAATTCTTTTGCCCTTTTATCTTTGTAAGGTTCTTCCGAGACTGGATCTTCTTAGCTGACAGCTCTGGCGCCAATACTAAACAACTATCAATATCTCATGGAGGTCAACAATTTATGCTTTCTCCTGCAGGAGATGGGTCTGGGCTTCATTTCTCACTGTATGACCTACGATTGGCAACAGCTGCCTTGTACACGGGAAAATTGTCATAGCATTCTAACGTTCAATTAAGCTTAATATCGCCGTCTCTCTACTATATGTAAGTCACTCAGATTTACCATCCCACATAGCAGAGGCGAATAATAAGAGTAAGTCGGCATGGTGATCGATCCATTCCGCACCCAAATCATTACGTTGTATATGGTTTAGTGAATCTCGCTTTCTAACACTCGGTCATCCTCACAAGCATTCCATAATTTCTCTTGTCGACGAACCAAGTTCGGATAAATCCATTGATTCT